GGTGTGTGTGTGTGTGTGTGTGTGTGTGTGTGTGTGTGTGTACAACTGAGCGGTGTGCAATTGAGCAATTGAGCGGTGTGCAACTGACCGGTGTGCAACTGAACGGTGTGGAATTGAGCGGTGTGCAACTGAACGGTGTGCAACTGAGCGGTGTGCAACTGACCGGTGTGCAACTGAGCGGTATGCAACTGAGCGGTGTGCAACTGAACGTTGTGCATTTTTATGTGTGCAACTGAACGGTGTGCAACTGACCGGTGTGCTACTGAACGGTGTCCAAATGAATTTTCTTCTGTGTCCAAAAGCTACTGTGCCCAAAATTATTGTGTATAAATGCACTGTGTCCAATTGAGCCGTGTGCAAAGTTTCGTGTCCATTTGCAACGTGTCCATTTGCACTGTGTCCAATTGTACTGTGTCCAAGTGAAGGCCACTCAGGTTTGAAGACCCCTTGTAAATGTTCTGCAAAGTATTCGACTTTTTCTTGGCTGCTTCTTGCCCAAAGATTATTTCCTTTTCGAATTGGTGGATTGTGGTTTATTGGCCTTCTTATGTGTTTGGTGACTTTCCACAATGAGTAGTTGGTGTCAGCGGTATATGTTAAAGAATGTAGTCTTTCCTGTAAGGATTCTCTTTCATTAGTCTAATGAGTTGCTTTAACTCTTGCGTGCATTTGTTGAAGTTTTGTTTATCCGTTGGATGATGTGATTTCTGCCATATCGCTCTGAGCCTTTCCTTTAACTGCGCTTTTCCTCTAACTTATTTTTAATATATAAAGGATACTCTTTATTCTGATTTTTCTTTTTGGTGATTGGAGTTGCATTCCAGGCAGCGGACTGTATCATGTTGTTAAAATGTTCGACAGCTGCCTCTATCTGCTCAGCGTTCTTTAAGGGCATGTTCAAAACCGAAGATTCATTGATATAGTTCCTGAAAACTTCCCAGTTTGTGTACCTGGTGCTTAATTTTTGAGTTTCCTCCTTTAGAATTATTTCTGAACTGATTGTTAAGATTGTCGGAGTATGGTCAGAGGAAAGATCAGTGGATGATTGTACATGTAGGTAGCTTTGTCTGATATCTTTACATATATAAAAGTCGAGGAGGCCTGGCGTTTTGTTTGGATCTGCAGGCCAGTATGTAGGTTCGCCAGTGGAAATACACTCCACATTCTGTTGTATGTATTTGTAAAGCTGTCGCCCGCGTGGTAGAGTTAGAACCTCAGAAGCAGTGCTTGGCGTTCCAGTCCCCACCCGTTATGTATCTTGTACCAAGTATCGAAAAGAACTCGTGAAACTTGTAACGGGGTTACTTTCGCGAGCGCGCGGATACCTCGGTCGGGATTAGGGCTCGTGAAAGGTGAGACACACGAAAGCTTAGGATGCAATTTAGCTTATTTATTCCTCTCTTTCGGAGATGGTCTAGGTACAATGTGTTTCGGGTATTAGCGCGCGGCGGATAATGCAACGCGTTCGGTGCAGGTTGCGTGCGGTTATTCGGTGCGCATGGTTCGATGTATCGAACCGCTTAATATTCAGCGACGTATGGCGAGACCGTGTTTATTTTGACGGCGCGGGAAACGCGCAAGACATTGGGCACGGTCGGTCGACGCGTGTACGGCAAGGCCGTGTTTGTTTTGACGGCGCGCGAAATACGCAAGAAATCGGGCGCGGTCGATCGGCGCGTGTACAGCAAGGCCGTGTTTATTTCGTCGGCGCGTGGAATTCTATCGGGTGATACGATTATGTATTTCGTTGCGATTATAATCGCTCACGGTAAAACCGTGACGATGTGCTCGCGTATTCGAATCCGCGTATTCCCAGGTATGCGGGGGGATGCGAC